GTCGATGCTGAAAATGCACCTTGTCCTGTGGTCTCAACTTCCTGAATACAGACCCTATCATTCACGACGTCTTTCTAACAATTGCATTGTTTCTGCTTTGTTAGCAGCATTCTTCTTGTTGCACTGCCAATCCGGACAGCAGCCATCGTGGAGGCGGAGAATTCCTCCAGGGTACTCTCGCCACATATCCATCGTCAAAATTCGATCACTGGACATCTTGTATTTCCCTTAATCGGGATTTCTAGAAGCTCATTCTCCCTTATTCTAGCAACTTCCTCGTCATCTATGATAAAATAATGACTGTCAACAGCTGATGTGTTAATGTCTGTGAAATATCTAACCATTTTCGCAGCCGAATCTAAATTAACATCATTAATCAATATCTCTTTTCTAAGAATAGTCTTAACCCAAAAGGCCCCCGTACTCATAGCATCAATAAGTCTTTCTTCTTCTGATCTGAGAAGTGGTAAACATAATCAGTTTTACCTGATGTTTGTACAATGCTACAATGCAGCACTATCTGCTTCCCGCTGAAATGGGCACTTTGTACCTCAGACTTCTCCTGAATATTCTCACTTCAGTCTTGCGTAATGATGCATTGGGCAGACTTTTCAATTGGAGGGAAATGTTCATTGTTCGTCATGGTAAAATATATAATACGATTTTTATGTAGTAGATATTTAACCGTCATCTTCTCTAAACGTTTATACCTGATCCTTCATGCAGTACGCTTTGTAGACCTGGCGGCAATTGAAGAAAGTCGAGCAGAGACACTTTTGCTTTTCTATTTGTGTTATGTCGGTTCTTTCACATAAAATGTCTTATGTAGATGGAAAAAGTTTGTGGACACTTTTCCTGAGCTTGAGGGATAATTGATAAAGCTCATTAAATTTGCAGCAAGACTCACAACAGAGCCTGTTTTTATACTCTTCTTTCTGCTTTCATGTATGGTATATTTTGCATTCTGTAAGACTTTAGAACCGCTGTCACCTCGTCATCATTAAAGTCACTGAGGCGGTACTCTGACATGAACCTCGATTTCTTTAAATACACTTCGTTGCGACCAGTTCTTCGGTCTGCACTTACTGTGCTATATTTTTTCCAAAACTGGATTACCTTTTCTTTAGTACCTTGACTAAATCCGGTTTTTGAACTTGCTTTAGATAATGGCTCTCTTATATAGAAGAATTTTCAACTTTTTTTTCCAGCCTGACCTTGATTCTTAACATCATCCGTCGATTTACTCCAACATCCTCACAGTTTCAGAAGAACCAGACCATGAAGTCACCCAACAGTTCAATCAAACATCTGTCTGATAATATACGCTGCTGTTAGCAGGTTTCTATTTGCCGCTCCAGCTCTTTTACCAGAGATTTGATCGCACAGGTATTTCACCTTTGCAAATTTGACAATCTTTGCCGTTCTTTGTAAGCGGCTTGTGCCAGTGAATAGGCACCTCTCGAATAACTACTCGAACCAAAATTTCAGACCATTGATGCTACAGCTTGTCATACTTATTGCTGGAAGCAGGGGGTACTTAACACTAGAGTGTAACGGATGTGGCAAAGATTCTGTGCGAGGAGTTATGCTATTGTTGTACTCTGCAACATGATCATATGGTGGAATGATGTTTTCTCCAATTTCAATTTTCAGGGTCGTTGTCAATAGTTTGTAGGGAGATTTTCCTATTTCCATCATTGACAAAAGCAGGGAGGCAGTGGGAACAATTATCTCGCAGATTGAAAGGGTTCTTGTTAGAATATAAATTGTATTAACACTGGACACTCCTCTCTCTTCTGCTACACAGCTAGAGTCTGGAGTTGAACCTTATCTGCCTTCTGGAGTCCCTTTACCCCAACACTGTTATATACAATCACTGGAACTAAACCTTTGCTAAAGTGAGATACAGGGTTAGATAAGATGAGTACAATTACAAACTACAAGATTACTAATTTAAATAGAATTAATATTCTAACAGTTCTCAATCAAACGCTCAACAAACTCGGCAACGTCCTTATTCTTAGAATAAGAAGCCCTAAAAAGATGAATGCCCAACAGTTGGATCACTGTTATGTCTTCTGCTTCTGCAGAAACTTGCAGACTTTTATATTGTGAATTGTAAGTCGAGGCGTCTGAAAAAACTGATTTTCAACGCGTTTCCATGGCAACCGCGCAGTCCCTATGGCAATTTTTGATTTTCAAGAATAATAATACAATCTTTTTTATGGCTTCAGAATATTAAATAATATGTATGCAATAAATTAATTAAATCGTTACAATCATTGTAAATACTTCGTGACAACACATACAACATTTTACAAAACTTATTTTTTATAGTTTGTATAAATTATGGATTTTTTGGTACAGCGCTCTGTACCTGCAGAGGCAGCACTCTGTTGTCGCCTCATGTGGCGGACGCCGGACAGCCTGGAAGAGAGCCTGTCTCTGCCTCTCGTCATGAGTAACCTTCCCACAGTTAAACTCAGTGATAAGTCCTAAGGCCCTTTCTGGCGACAGGTGAATTGTAGCAGCGATTTGGCGAGGTGCTCCTCTAGCTGGACAGCGACGCCCTTTAAATGGACTTCTGAATTGACACGAGACCACAAATCTAGCTGGTGTCTAATGTCTATGTCTTTGCTATCAAGCATCTCGCCTACCTCGTTCACTACAACATCAGCCGACCCCTGGCCCTGAGTGAGTGAGTGAGTGAGGAACAATCGAAGCTCGGTCCAGGATCGAGAACTGTGCTCTTGGGAGAAATAAAAAGACACAGAATCTTCTATATCTATCTGAGCTGCGAAAACAACCTTATTTTTCTTCTTCGGTTTATGCTCCTCGAGTTAGTGCAAAACTTCTTCATACCTTATTGGACCTTATTTGGACGGACATTACATGAACGGACATAATTATAAACGGACATTAATATGAACGCTCGAAGGCATTCAAAACCATCAAAGTGGATCCCCAGGTAATTGACTTTTGGCTACTTTGGGAATATAACTTTGTAAGTTGCCAAAAAAAGTACCTTTTTTAGCGACTGGTCTGTAATCAGGTTCTGGTTCGTTCTGAAGTTTTATTGTCAATTTCATTACAATTCGATTACGTTACTTTTGTTAAAAAATCATCTTTGTTTATAAATGATTCTAATCGCTTCATCATCTAGCTTACCGCATCTAAATATATCAATCACAACCATGACCAAGGTTATGAATAGTGATATCATGAGCGTAAAATTAAATTATAAGCTACTTAGCTACTAGTCATGACGTATCATAAAGCATGGCAAGACACTTTGTAACTTTAATAGAATATAGGTACTTAGATGTATAGTTTTATACCCTCTTTTTTGATCGTCTTTTTAGGTGGTCTATTTGGTTTTGCAAAGAGGTTATCGTTTTTTGCATTTCTGCAACTGCTGCAGCTCATCTATTTTAGCCGGCTAAAATGGCTTTAGTTGCTGATTCATTTGTTCCAGGACAAGGTCACTCATTCTGAAAAGCCTTGCCTGGCAATCAGTGAGATTGTTTAACTGGCTGCCCTTCCTTCCTGGCCTTCCCGACTCTGCAATTGCGGAGGATTTTATTGCAGGCCTTCAGTCCTCCCTCGGATAACACACCTAACCCCATTCTTCTCTACCATCTCCCAGGAGTGGCCGAGCAGCTTGTGGACGGATGGTGATATTACTACCACGGGCTGTGGGAATCTGGTCAGTATGAGTCTGTAGGTGTCCTTACAGTATCTTTCCAGGGACTCTACTTGCTCGATGTTCTTTATTGACCCCACTACCCGCGAGACTTGTATTTGATGAACCTTTAAATGACAATTTAGAATTAACTTATCCATACTAATAATTCTTAACTGTAATGTATGATTTTAAATTGTGTAGTACCTCTACTAACTACTTCTGGGATAACGTTAATACACAACTTTATGAAAACGTGCTGTTAGAATAACACTATTCAACTTAGTAAATTTAGCAACTGTCACTGTGTTCGCCTGTGTATTTCAGGAATACTTTTCGCTTTTTCCTCGGTGGCTTTGGAGCGTTACCTCGTATTGCAAGCCTGCTGAATAGACTCCTCATTACCTCGTCGTGTGGGGATTGCAGAAACCACATTATGTAAGTGCGTCGGAATTATATTATTATTTAATCCATCTCGAGATAATTAGTACTCCAACTTCTTGAACTAAGTGGATACCTAAATCAAAACATTACCTTTTCCTTTTACAAAGTACATTTTCGGATCCCAGCAAGTTTCGAGTATAGCCAATTTTGCCTTGCTTCTCGTGTGGATACTGTCTCCTTCATGTATACGTATGTAAGTATCCCCCTGCCCCCCCCCCCCCCCCCCCCCCCCCCCCCCCCCCCCCCCCCCCCCCCGTGCACGCTTCTTAAAGGAAGGGTGCCTTTCAAGCAGTTCCTAGGAGAATCATATATTACTATACTTGAACATAGATTACTACACAATAAGGTGAGACTTTTGTAATAATAAATTGTTAAATGAAATACCTTGGTGTACTCATAGAGTAGTGTGTTTAGAAGTGCCCTTCACAGCACACTACACTGGTCACGAGATTCTTGTACACTGACCTGAATCCGTCCTGTCGCCCCTTAGCATGCGATGTTGCATGGTAATGATGCTCTGTCGGGACTCATGGTTAACAAGATCAAATATGACCAAACAGACCGTACTCATTCGTGAGACCTCCAGTCTTGGTCGTACCTTCAATACTGATTGTCTCTGTAAGGTCTGAGTGTCTTTCCTAGCTTGCCAAATCCAGTAACGTATAGATCCTTTAACAGGAGTCTCACCTTATTACTACACAATAAGGTGAGACTTTTGTAATTATAAATTGTTAAGTGATGGTTATACTATAATATGTAACTCATAGAGTAGTTCTGATGTGTTTAGAAGTGCCCTTCACGGCACACTGCACCGGTCAAGAGATTTTTGTACACTGACCTGAATCCGTCCTGAATACCCTCAGCCTTTCCCACTTCCCCAGCTTCCCCCGCATGACTGATTTGATAGCTAATCGGTGCCCAATTTTCACCACCCCCAAATCCTTCATGTCTTCTGTTGACATCTGGTTCAAGTACTCTCCTGAAAATCGGATATTTTTCTCAAGGGAGCAATGGATTATCCGGTCGATGTGGGATGGCGTATGAAAGTACTTTGAACACCAATTGTCAAAATTATCACTGCAATATTATTACAAGCACTTCATAGTAAAATGTGGCATAGTTGTTTAAATGTGAAATAGTCTGAAATTAGTAATATACTTACATTAAACACGAGTTAATTTAAGCTATGATCTATTATTAAGTTAGTTACACTGTGAATTGCCAATAGCAATACCATGACGTGACAGTACATTATTAAGTTAAGTATTTTACCTTTAACCTCTTCCTCCTCAAATGTCCTTCTTATATCGTCGGTTATTTCATCACCGATCTGAAAAATATTGAGCTATATTTATAAATATAAATGCTGCAATGATGCATTAATCAAATTGTCAAAGTTGTCAGAAGTTCACTGTCCTCTATTATGTATAATGAACACAACACAATAGTGTTATGACAAACAAACCACAAGGTTAGTTTTTACCTTTAACGACAGTTCTCTAAAAAATATTTCTAGATCCATCGCGTCGTTCTCTTGGCTAAAGAAAATATTAAACTTAGCTAAAAAGTGGGTAGCAATGCTAGATGCTAAAATTTGTTACAAACTTTATAATTACTTTTGATGAATAACAGCTTCTCTTGGGTCTCGAAGGCTAACCTTTTGCGTTTTGGACCCATTAGGTAATCGTATGTTGAGAACAATTGCTCGACTGGACTTTGAGAAATGGGCTGTGAGTATATCTTGATTGCGAGGACTTGCATGTTAGGGATCTTGGCACCAAAGAGCCTCCAAAAGCCCCTTAGAGTATGTGTCTGAACGAGTTCTGATTGGGCAGCAGCGGCGGTGGTATCTGATGTCTGGTTGGAGCTGGAAGACTGGCTTGAGCTGGACGACTGGCTGGAGCTGGGTGGGTTGGTAGACTGGCTAGAGCTGGAGGCCTGGCTGGAGCTGTGTGGGTTGGTAGACTGGCTAGAGCTGGTTGGTAGGTGACTCCAGGTGACAGTTTGGACTCCAGGAACTGGTACAGCCCCATAGGGGTCTTAATCTTGTCTAGATACGCATTCACTGTTCTGTCAGAGGCCATGTCTATTTTCCAAGCACCACTGCATAAGTGCTCAAATTCGTCGAGAACGTCAGAGTTACCTGTTGAAAGAAGGATTAGTTAAAACATCTTGATTACTGATTCTTGATACAACTTTTCCCAATTGTCAACTCCGTTGACATTTAAGTTACTTCGAGAGGTCTTAGTACTTTTCCCAGGTAAGTTTGAAGCATGTTTAATAGTTTTCCATATACCTTTTAAATCATTTCTTGCGCTTTTCACAGTTAAGTCTTGAACAATATTAGTACGCCTGTTTTCTCTAGATAATTTGGTAACATAATTTCTTTGGACTCGAATATTTTCCCAATTTACACTTTTTTTGTGCAGTATACCTTTCCTGCATTTACATTGTCCATTAATACATTTATAATTAAATTTGTTCATTTCTTTTAATAACTTTTTATGTTTTCTGAATAGCAACTTTTTCACACTTTGGTTAACCAACACACCTCATCCTCCTCTTCCCTGATCATTAGGTCTATCACATCTTAAAAAGTCAAAGTTTAGAGGGAGGTTTAGTGTACTAGTGTATATATCAGATTTAAGGTTGGTTTCATTAATTCCAATAATATCTAGTTGTTCGCGAAACACCAGCTCTTGAAGTTCAAGAGTCTTTGCCAAGCTAGTTAAGCCCCCCTGTATATTGCATAGACCAATAGCAAGATTATCGTTTATTAATGTGTGCATTCAAAAGCAAAATGAGTATGTGAGATAAATGGTGTCAACACTGGTGATTGAAAAAAAAATACAAAAAAGCAGCAGCCGTACTGCAGTTAAGGTCACAAAATTAATGGTTCAGCATAACAGTAACTCACTTCTGTTTGTGATTAATATAGCTTGAGGGATATAAAAACGTTAAGTTATAAGAAATTTGGGCTGATCTAACGATTTAAAGTTTAAACCAGATGAAATAGTGATCCCTTTATTATTCATGATGATAAGCTTGGATGGCAAAATTTAGCGAAGTTTAACACAAGTGAGTTACGTATTTAAGATGCTTACCTAGCCTGGCAATTCCTAGCTTATTAAGGTGCACATTGTCATGGCCCCGGCCAAAATACTTGTCCTTTCTACTATTATTTAAAGTAAAGAGATTATTCTCGTGTTCTGTGTTTATGTATAATAGCCCATGCCTGTAACACATATTTTCTATGTATCGATTCAGTTCCTGGATAATATAATTCTTACTAGCGACAGCTCTAGGTAGGATGTTTAAAATGCATATTTTCGCACTATTAAATTCTGCCCACAGTTTGTCAACAAATTCTTCAATGTCTTTTTTCACTTTCAATGTCAAAATGTAATGGCACCCAAAAGTCATTTAAGTGTCACTTTTAAAAAACGTGTCCTTAATGTGATGAGAGGGAGCTTTAATATCAGTGGCATGATTTGATAACTATCACTACTACAATACAAATGTGTTTTTGCCATGGAATTGTTTACAGTTTGCAGACAATTCCTTCGACAAACCACATAGTGATTACTGATAAGTGGTTACTGATTTACATCTTCAGCAGCTGGTCACCGTTTATCTGGACCCCCCTTGATCAGAAAAAGGCTGATAAAAGATTATCAGCCGGACATGGCTGATACCCTGATGATGTGGCGGCTTGAGGCAGGAGTGGGGACAGGGTCGGTGAATGTTCTGGTCAACAAATGTATTGCTATACTTGTTGATCAGGAAATCATTGATCCTAATCTCCTCTCCAGGCCTGCCGTACATGCACGACAAGGTTTTGATGTAAGTATAAAGATTATCAGCCGGACATGGCTGATACCCTGATGATGTGGCGGCTTGAGGCAGGAGTGGGGACAGGGTCGGTGAATGTTCTGGTCAACAAATGTATTGCTATACTTGTTGATCAGGAAATTATTGATCCTAATCTCCTCTCCAGGCCTGCCGTACATGCACGACGAGGTTTTGATATAAGTATAAAGATTAAACATAAGTTGTTTTTTATTAGTAAATATTACCTAAACGATTGCATTTCAGCTCAGGCCGAAAAGATGATTCGGGGGACTGAATCGAATTCAGGTGAAATGTTTTGTCATCCAGAATAAATAAAAAAAGCAGAGGGAAAACTATGAGAAACTGTTGCAGGACCTCAACATCATGTTCTCTGTGACACAAGGGATTAGGGGGATGTTAATACTGACAAGTTGAAACTGCTGGGTATTGACATCATGGCATATCTGAAGACTGCTTTCTTGAACAACAGCAGGAAGCCATGGATTAACATTAATCGATCACTCCATCAGGTGTGTGCACATGGCTGGGAGCTGTTTAAAATTTGTGATGGGCCCATAGCAAAATTCAATGAACAGTCTCAGGAGCATTGGAATAAGCATGTTTCACGGTTCAAAACTCAAGAGCGGGGCTGGTACACGAGCACGCCAACATAATGTCCGTGTCAACATCCAGGACATATTTGGTCGTATGCTCATGATGACCCACCTTCGAGTAGCTGTTACTAAGCGGCAGTTGTACTGCAGTACTTGCAAACAGACTGGACACACTGCAAGGTCGACCATGCGTGTGGTCCAGTCAAGCAGGAACCTGCTCTTATTAACAGCTATCACTTGAACTAAATCACTAATTTCATAGTCATTTAAAGTGATTTGCATAGTTAATTTAAGCTTATTCCAATACTTCTTTGACACCCACCATCACTACGTCCAGCAATATCGCCACCCACCTGCACCCTGCCTCTGGCCCCTTTAATACATCTAAGAACATCTAATGCCTTAATTATAACAACCCCTCGGTGAAGACATGATCAAGATGAAAGGAAAAAGGAACGGAAAGGCGGGTGTTGTATGCTTCTACCCCAAAGAGGAAACGTAATGCTCGCAAAGAAAGGGCATGGAGCAAGATTTCCCTGGACTGGAAGAAGGACCCCTGTCTTTACCAAGAATGGTAACCAAAAAAGTCATTAGTATTTTATAAGCCACACAAAAAGTCTTTATTTAGTGATTTTACCCATTTACCCATTTTTGAATTCTGGTCGCCCTGTTTAATATATTATTACTTTTTTACAAGTGAAAAGTAGGTGTAAATTATCGGCGGTCAGCCCATATCTTCCATTATTACGATAGATGAGGCCGTCTATTAACTTGTGAGACCAAACCAACTATATTTACCTCAATTCTCTAGTCTTTTCAGACGCAGAATCTTCTACACTCTCTGACTTCTTCTGATGTCTGGGACTTACGACCCCAGATGTAGCTTTCAACGACGTTTTAAGGGCCCAACGTTCAGCTGTTCATCAGGGTTAAACTGGGCAGGGTCTTTCAGCCAGCTGCCAGTTGTCACTCCAGGTCTTGTTGTAGCGACTAAGCCAGATAGTGTAGGAACCTTTCAGGGACACCACCGCTGTTGTGTTAAGTGCCCTCTTCTTCTTTGCCCGGGTGATGTTAAGGAAGTTGAAAATTCGGGGTAATGTGTGGTGGTAAAATCCACGACATCCAACTTCTACTGTAAAGAGATATCCTTCCCAGCCTGCGGTCTCGATCTCCACCATTAGCTCTTCGTATCTCTTCTCTTTCCGGGATCTCTGGTCCTCAAAGTTCTCCTCGTTTCCACAGGTCAGCTCTATCAGGATGACTTTCCTGAGTGTGTTAGAGTATATTACCACATCAGGTCTGAGAGCTGTGTTGACAATATGTTGGGGGAATTGTCTTGTCCTTTCGTCCTCATCAAACACTAGTTTCCAGTCGTTACCTTCCTCTAGAAGATGAGGTTCTTCTGTAAGCCGTACTTCGGGTTTCCTGTAGGTTCCTTTTCCGGATACGAACTTCCTCCACTCTCTCTTTACTTCTGTCTTTGGGGTAGCACTGTTTATCTCCCTCAGCTTCTCTGCAATTGGTTGCACGATTACCCTGAGCACCTGATCATGTCTCCAATTATACCTTCCTTGTTTAAGCGACACTGGGCAACACGTTAGAATGTGCTTTAGGTTGCACTGCTGACGCCCACAAAGGGGACAGTTGTTCGTGGAGCTGTAGTTCCAAAGCTGGAGGTTGCTAGGTGTACTTGCAACGTCGTGGATGGCATTTAGGTGGAACTTTGTCAGCTCGGGGCTCAAGGTATACAGCAGGCTTTGCCAGCCAGTGTCTAGCTGCATGGTGTTCTCCCAGGTTAGAAACTTTCCTTGGACTCTCTTATCGTAGAGAGTTTGAAGGAGCTCCTCTTCTTTCAGAGACTTAATTATCTCCACCAGTTGCTCCTTTTTGTTCTTCTTCCTCCTCTGATCACCGAATCCAATACCGGCTCCTTCCCTGGTCTGCACGTAGCCAATCAGTTCTTTGAAGTAGAGGTCTCTCTCCCTATTAGTCAGCTCCTTGGTGTAGTCCCATCTCTTCTTGTCTCTGTTGGTGTGACATGTCAATTTAACAAAGTTATGATCGGGCGTTCTGGTATATATAAACTACTTCATACTTGTGAA